TTTCGCATAGGGTATAAATTTCTACTAAGTCCCCGAAATTCCCAGATTCATATGCCCATGTTCATCGCCTCGTAACTTTGCATCCATAGCTCCGATTCATGCATATAGCATATCAAAATGTTCGTCTCAAAGAGAACATCATTTCATCTCATTGCAGCATTTTCATTTGAATTCATCTTGATGCCCGAAATGCTGTTAGAAGAGTGCTACTTGAGATAATTGTCAGATCTGCTGCTCCATTTAGATATTTGTCATTTTTGCCGTGATTAATGTGTGCATGATATGCCCATGAGCTCTACATGTGTTTTGTTATATGCTTTGTCATCTATCCAGAGGTACGACCCATGTATTTTTGTGATGTGTGTGGTGACTAGCACAAGCTTGCCAAGTGAGGCACTTGGTAATGCTGATTTCAGGGACTTAGCATTTCCACTAAGTCCTTGACCTGTTTATCTCATTATGCCATATGTTTATGTTGTTTCCTAGTGATCCGTGCCTCTTTTGAGGATGATCAGTAAGGATGATTTGTTAATCTTGTAGTGCTCCATCCATCCATGTCTTTGTTTGCAATTATGGAGCACCCTAGCTTGAGTCAATCGAGCTCTACTTTTGTCATTTCGTGAATCTGGGCAGATTGTCTACTTGTTAGCAATTTTGCCGGGGATGTTGTAGTTGATCCATGCATGCTATGTTATTGTTCTTGCCATGTCTAGCTTACATTTTGTGTATTCTTGATGGATGTATGCTTAGCTTTTCATGACTTGTTGGGGAACGTAGTAATTTCAAAAAAATTCCTACGCACACGCAAGATCATGGTGATGCATAGCAATGAGAGGGGAGAGTGTGATCTACGTACCCTTGTAGATCGATAGCGGAAGCGTTATGACAACGCGGTTGATGTAGTCGTACGTCTTCACGGCCCGACCGATCAAGCACCGAAACTACGGCACCTCCGAGTTTTAGCACACGTTCAGCTCGATGACGATCCCCGGACTCCGATCCAGCAAAGTGTCGGGGAAGAGTCCCGTCAGCACGGCGGCGTGGTGACGATCTTGATGTACTACTGTCGCAGGGCTTCGCCTAAGCACCGCTACAATATTATCGAGGACTATGGTGGCCGGGGGCGCCGCACACGGCTAAGAATATGATCACGTGGATCAACTTGTCTCTTTGTGGGGTGCCCCTGCCTCCGTATATAAAGGTTCAAGAGAGGAGGAGGCCGGCCGGCCCCTATGGCGCGCCAAGGAGGAGTCCTCCTCCTAGTAGGAGTAGGACTCCTACTAGGAGGGGGAAAGAAGTGGGGAGGGAGAAGGAAAGGGGGGCACCGCCCCCCCTCTCCTAGTCCAATTCGGACCAGGGGGAGGAGGTACGCGGCCCACCTTTGGCTGCCCCTCTCTCTCTCCACTAAGGCCCATATGGCCCATTACTTCTCCCGGGGGGGTTCCGGTAAACCTCCGGCTTTCCGGTTTATATACCCTCGAAATCAGGCAAGATGATCATACCCTCGAAATCACTTCTATCTTTGCTTGCTTAGTTGCTCGCTCTTTTGCTATGCCTATGCTGCGATACCTACCACTTGCTTATCATGCCACCCATATTGTTGAACCAAGCCTCTAACCCACCTTGTCCTAGCAAACCGTTGTTTGGCTATGTTACCGCTTTGCTCAGCCCCTCTTATAGCGTTGTTAGTTGCAGGTGAAGATTGAAGTTTGTTCCTTGTTGGAACATGGAGATGTTGTTCCTTGTTTGGAACATGTTTACTTGTTGGGATATCACAATATATCTTATTTAATTAATGCATCTATATACTTGGTAAAGGGTGGAAGGCTCGGCCTTATGCCTGGTGTTTTGTTCCACTCTTGCCGCCCTAGTTTCCGTCATATCGGTGTTATGTTCCCGGATTTTGCGTTCCTTACGCGGTTGGGTTATAATGGGAACCCCTTGACAGTTCGCCTTGAATAAAACTCCTCCAGCAAGGCCCAACCTTGGTTTTACCATTCACCACCTAGCCTTTTTCCCTTGGGAGTCGCGCATCCCGAGGGTCATCTTATTTTACCCCCCCGGGCAGTGCTTGTCTAAGTGTTGGTCCAACCCAGAGCACCGTGCGGGGCCGTCCCTTGGCAACTTGGGTTACGTTGGCTCCCGTACGCTTAGCTTATCCGGTGTGCCCTGAGAACGAGATATGTGCAGCTCCTATCGGGATGTCGGCGCATCGGGTGGTCTTGCTGGACTTGTTTTACCATTGTCGGAGTTGTCTTGAAGAACCAAGGTACCGAGTCTGATCGGAACGTCTCGGGAGGAGGTCTATTCCTTCGTTGACCGTGAGAGCTTGTCATGTGCTAAGTTGGGACTCCCCTGCAGGGTTTTGAACTTTTGAAAGCCGTGCCCACGGTTATGGGCAGATGGGAATTTGTTAACGTCCGGTTGTAGAAAACCTGAAGTTGACCTTAATTAAAATGCATCAACCGCGTGTGTAACCGTGATGGTCTCTTTCCGGCGGAGTCCGGGAAGTGAACACGGTGTTGGAGTTATGCTTGACGTAGGTTGCTATAGGATCACTTCTTGATCATACTTTTATCGATCATGCTTTGCCTTCTCTTCTCGCTCTCATTTGCGTATGTTAGCCACCATATATGCTAGTCGCTTGCTGCAGCTCCACCTCATACCTTTACCTTACCCATAAGCTTAAATAGTCTTGATCGCGAGGGTGCGAGATTGCTGAGTCCCCGTGGCTCACAGATACTTCCAAAACCAGTTTGCAGGTGCCGATGAGTCCGTGCAGATGACGCAACCAAGCTCAGGAGGAGCTCGATGAAGATCTTGTCCTTTTTGTGTTGTTTCGCTCTAGTTGATCAGTAGTGGAGCCCAGTTGGGGTCGATCGGGGACCGTGTCGCGTTTGGGGTTCTTCTTTTATTTTGGTTCTGTAGTCGAACCTTGATTGTATTTGGATGTTGTAATGCTTTATTCATGTATTTGTGTGAAGTGGCGATTGTAAGCCAACTATGTATCTCTTTCCCTTATGTATTACATGGGTTGTGTGAAGATTACATCACTTGCGACATTGCTTTCAATGCGGTTATGCCTCTAAGTCGTGCTTCGACACGTAGGAGATATAGCCGCATCGAGGACGTTACAATACTCGACGGGAACGTCTCCTCCTACTGAACGCACATCGGCGAAATGACTAAGATAAATCCAGAAAAATACGACCACCAAGGACTTGACCCCTGATGGGCTGGTTCCATCCTAAGAACATAACCGTCTGCGCTACGCTAGGTTCACACAATTAATATACAATAATACTACACTCACGGGCTCACTACGGCCTTTTACACAATCTTCATTGCAAACTCTTCACCCCGAATTTCAGGTGGTGTGGGCCTCTCATCCTAATTTCTTCCAATCAAATTACCCAGCTAAGCACCCTCATAAAACCCGTAATTATAAGCACGTGCGTGTAGCATTGCTGATTAATATATGCTCACTACACACCTATAAAATTTCATAATGAAATATGTCTTTTTTGGGCTAAAATTGAGACAAGCATATGGATATAACAGATTTACTGGGGGTACTATTTTCTACTTAGAGATCTACATTTTTTGTTGCAAATAAACGAAAAAATATCTATGAAAGAAAATTATACATGTATCTACAACTTGAAAATATTATTATTATTATTTTCAAAAAATCCGGGCTCCAAACTATCGCACTCGTGTAAATACATCCTACTTTGAAAAATCTACCAAAATTATTGATTGATATAGGGAAATGACTTGCATCCGGATGAATGGATGATTTACATTGAATCCAAGAGCATGAGTGACCAAAAGAGGTTCAACAAGCAAGAAAATTGTATGGAGACGCATAGGCGACCGGCAATCACCCGATGGGCTCACCAATGCCGAAGAGGCTACACCGACATCTCTCGGGTTTGAGAAAAATATGTTGATAGAGGGTTTATTTGGTTAGTGTCCAGCGCTCCATATCGCGAAAAAGATGGTGTCTAGCTTTAGGTTAATATTTTTTGATATTTTTTGTCTGACGAGGATGACCATGAGAGGGTTGTTTTGTTGTGGCATGTAAAAGCATTTAATAGTTTACTAGCATTAGTAGATGCTCGTATGGTCAACAAGGTTGGAAGACATTGATTGAGGCAGCTTCACTTGAACGCTATGCGAGTCCTTCCGAGTGTGCAAAGCAAGTGTCTGGGTCACAATCTAGAGCTAGATCCTCTGACGTACTACACCTTAACTTGTGGGGCTGAGTCCACATGTCAGTGGGCTAACAGCATGTCAGGGGAGCCGCGTCCTACAATCCAGGATGCTCAAGGGGTGGCGAGCCGAGAGGAAGAAGGCATTTGCGTTGGGGAAGGCGGTAGGGAGAAAGACATGTAAAGCGGTTTTTAGAGCACCGGTTTTTGGTTAAATTTTTCCAAGATCACCACACATGTCATTTCATTACATAAGTTTGCACGCAAGTAGTAGAAAACACGAACATGTTTGTTGTCTAAAAATTCAGATTTTCTATCTTTTACTTTCCTTCGCGTTTTTTTTTATTTTGCTGTTCTTGCAGAGCGTATGAGCCTGAGATCCGTTTTGAATATCCGGTGTTGAGTCCTTTCCATTGATTTTTTGTTGTTTGAAGTTGTGAGAAAATTCAGGGTACAACATAATCGGTACCTAAATTAAAGCTCCGCTTTAATTCAGCCTTGTGCATGGGTATATGGACTAACTTTATGAACAGAGTCCAAGCAGACAGAAATGGATCATTATGTACAAAGAGATGCAGATCAGTAACTAGATTTATTTTCCAAAACAGAAAGAAAATCTGGAAACTTGATTGCTGAGAAGCAAACCGAACTAACAATATGTACAAAGGAGACTCCAAGTCTGCAACCTTGTCTGGGCACTGTTTAACTAACACCTAAATTTAATCAATTGGAGAACATTATTATTTTATTTCAACCAATGACAAGTTTGCTGGGATAGATACAGGATCACTTCTCATCCTTGCCGGTGTAAAAGTGGCGAAACGCGCATGAGAAGTCCTTGAATTCACAGCCCTCGTCGCATAACTTCCGGTAACTGCAGAAACTAGTGATTAGTCATGCAACAAAAGAAAAGGTGAAATGTAAGGTTTTCTGTAACTTTTTTTGTTCTTGTTAATAATCTTACATCTCAAGTGCTTCAGAACCCACGGGACATTTGAAGCCAACTCCAGATGCAGAGGCCATGGCCAAATCCAAATCTTTAGCCTGCAGAGGAATGCAAACGATGAAGTGTGAGCTTTGTTTAATATGATGATCATATGCACTTAGTTTACACTGTTTCGCTCTTCCTTTGCTAAGGGAAACATGTACCACACATGTTGATGTGATTACAAGATTCCAGACTAATGTTGTTTTACCAAGCAATCCACTTATATTCGACAATCAGAACATTCTGTGTCCCGTGAATCATACCATTAATTTGGAGGTGAAACCACCATCATAATTCCTCGACGATGGCACGCCCGCCATTACTCCAGGAACTGGGTTATATGTGTCGCTGTTGAAATTAGCCCCAGAAGGAGCAAACAAAGTTACAAACTTCAGATGATCCAACTTATAAGGCATAAGCTTAAGGTGAGAATTTTCAGTTAAAAAAAGCTAAGGATGAGAATGTAATTTTCTATGACTCATTACACATTTACACCTGAATAAAAATTATGCTCCATCACCACAATCTAATGTTTGAAGAAGCAAAGCCCGTAGTACTGCATCTCAAAACCACAATAGGATAAGTGAGGAGACAATACCTACTCCAGCAGCGGGCGCTAGAGCAATTGAATATATCTGTGAGAGTGCTTGCTTTGATCCCAAGATTCTGACCAAGAGCAAAGGCCTCGGAGACCCCAAGCATGCTGATGGCCATGGCCATATTGTTACAGAGCTTTGCAGCCTTAAAAGTACATATTAAAAGTGAGTTTGAATCATCTGTGCATGAAAAGTTATATAAAGAGAACTCAGTGAAGAGCTGGAGTAAATCAAACTTACCGAGCCATTTCCAGCCCCGCCGCAGTAGATCAGCTTTTTGCCCATTGCGAGAAGTAACGGCTTTGCTGCTATGTATGTTTCTTCTAAACCACCCACCTATATATCATTCCTTTGCACCAAAGTAAGACACAAGACCTTGTATGTAACACTAGTTTTTCCCCAACAAAGTCTCTGTATTTTCTGGCAGTAACAATAAGTTCTGCGAAGCAAGGAATGGTACCATGAAAGTCAGTGTCCCAGCTTCTGCGGCAGGAACACCTCCGGAGACAGGAGCATCCATCATCATCGGTTTTTCGGCGTAGCCTGAAGATACAGAAAAGGCAGACATGCATAACTCAAATGTGCAGATAGTGTTATTTGTTGCCGGGGACAGATAAGGACACAGTTAAGACCGTTGATGGTTTCATCTTTTCCAGGTGTACACTGAAGTATTCAGGTTTTGAACTGCTAATTTCAAATGGTGGTTCTGTATGATGGCAGATCACAACCTTTCTTCTCATTTAAACTGCATCTTGACATGTCCATAGATATCTTTCTCGATGTATGAGGATCAACTGTGGATGAATCTATGTATAACCACGGTCCCAGGCGCCCCCCATTACCGAGCAAGCCATTCCGTCCACTGTATACATCTAAGACCTGAAAAGAGCCTGGTAGCACTAAGCATTTGATTTGGTAAAGGTGTTTGGTATAACTCAAGTTACAGCTAGTGCTTGTGAGTCACCAACTTCTCGTAAAGAAAACTAAACCAACTTACATGGGCAGAGGAAGGTAACATGGTGATTACAACATCACTCGACTCAGACACTTCAAGTGGCGACCGCTTCGTGGGAATTCCATCGTCGGAGAACTTCTTCATGGCAACCTCATTTCTGAACATCATAGATTCAGTGTTTGTTGGATGGTCTAACAACAGGTTTTAAGACGACCACAAAACTACGTGTTAGAGTAGGGTAATGCGGCTTTTTACATGTATAATTAGTAGGCAAACCACTTTTGAACAAGGAATAATTGGATGAACATTGGACCACAAAAAAAAAATGGAAGCTGGCAAGAAGGGCTTACATATCATGAACTGACACTCTGTATCCAGCCCTCACCAGGTTCCTTGCCATGTGGGCGCCCATGTTCCCAAGCCCTATGAATCCAACACTCTGCAAAGCATGCCAACACCTCATAATCATAAACAAGGGAAACAATGTAAAATGTCTGTGCCTATCAGAAGGATGCATTGGCCAAAGATCAGAGCTCCTTCCAATCTTATTTTATTTCAACTAAGCTCTACTCGACTCAAGTTGCAGGTGATACAGGCAGAGAAGAACGCGAGATGGACATGAATCATAAGAGGAAAGAAACCTCCATGTGGGGTGGAGGTGGAAGCGCAGGAGCGGAAGAGAAGCCCCGGGCGCGGAGGCGGCTCTCCCAGCCCCATCGCTGCCGCAGCTTGGAACCAAGCCTCCTCCATCCAACACCACCCATGCTTGCTGCTGCTGCTGCGGCTGCTATCGGGTATCAGTGGAGCGCTGAATCCAGACTGTTCGCTGCAGGAAGGAAACAGAGAGCGGATAACATCAGTCAGGTTCGATGGATCCGCGCGTCGTGGAGCGATGATCCAAGCGAGGCGCGGCACCGGACTCACTCACTCTGTCAGCCTGGGATTCGGATTCGGCGAGCGACACGGCGGAAGCGCGGGTCACTCACCAAATCTCGCGACTGGGGCGGAAGAAGAAGCGGAAGAAGAAGCGGGAGCTTGCCTTCGCCGGTGGGTGGGGGAGACGGGTGGAGAGAGGAGGGGACGAGCCGTGCAGCAGGTGGGAAGGGGCTCGTTCCGGCGTGGCGTGGCGTGGGCGTGGCGTGCATATCGCTTCGCCGGCGCCGAGTCATCGGTCATCACGCTCTCTCGCACGAGGCTCGCACGCCAAGAGGGATCACGTTTAGCATATAGCTATGCAGGCGAACAGTAAAAAACCATTTTTTTAATAAAACAATCTGATTTATTCGTGCATGTCTGTGTCAAAAGCATGCTTGGCAAGAGCAGTTGTGTCACGCTGGTAAAAGGAAAAATCAGCGTTTCAAAGTCCCCAAATTTTAGCGCTAAAACCAATTTTATCGGATGTCAAATTATTTGGACCCCGAAACATTTACGGATACATTTAGAGATGAACAGGCACATGTCTAAGCTTTTTGGGACAGCCTATTTGTCTGATATACTCCCTCCGTTCCAAATTACTCGTCGCAGAAATGGATATATCTAGAATTAAAATACATCTAATACATCAATTTCTGCGATGAATAATTTGGAACAGAGAGAGTCGCAGAAATGGATGTATCTAAAAGAGTTAAATACACTGGTGCTGCCTAAACTTGTCCTGCACGATCAGTTTGGTGCCTAAAGTTGCGAAATATATGAAATTGATGCTCGAACTTGTCTGGCCGTGCAAATACGGCGCCTCTTCCGTATTCGAATGTATGTCCTGCCCGCATGATGTGCCAGCATTGACGAAGGCCCACAAGTTAGTGGTTGTGTGGTGGGAGGCACCAGATGTCCCGCTGGTGAGGAATTATTCTACAAAAGAAAACCCCATATTTTATTTAATCATGTAAGAAAGCGCTCAAATTCAGTGCATGCTAGTGAGAACTAACATGAAGAAAAAACCACTTGCAGGGGTTCTAACCTTAAAACCTCATGTTAATACCGGCACGATCTGGCCGCACTGGTGATCTATGCTTTTGCGTACAAGTATTACCTAGAAAGCTATGTAGACCCATGTATCATTCTGCATTTTTTCTAATGCGTTATCCACCAGTTTTTAATATTTTTCAAGTTCATATTTAGTTTTATGGCACGCAAAATTTTCCATTTAGAAAATACAATAGTTAACAAATATGCAATTACTATTTTTGTAGAAATAGAAGGATAATTTACACAACATATTTTTAATATCCGTTGTGCATTTTCTAAAATTATGTTGACATTTTTAAAATAAACATTGTCAACTTTTGAATGCATGGCGAACATTTTTCAGAAACACATTATATTTTTAAATACATCTAAAACATTTTCCACAAGCATGTTGAACATTTTTTAAATGCGAAAACAATTACTTTAAGTTTGTAATTTTTTCTTACAATTCTTTTTTCAAATGGCAAAGATAATATAAAAAATAAAAATAAACATGAACTTGAAAAAATAAGAAGAAAACTTGCGCAGGCCCATAGGACCGCCATATATAGAAAATATTTTTGAAGAGGCACATAGCAACGAAAGCGGATTTTTGGCGCACGGTGCCCACTGATCATTTTTTTATGGTTAAAAACTGGCAATTAAAAGTTTGACAAAACAAATTCACACAAAAACGTATGCATGTGCTCTAAGTGACTTTAAAATTTCAATTGAAATTATGGTATATTATACCCTGCAATACAAACCAAAATCTAGCCAAAAAAACAAGCTGATCTTTGCATGTATTTGTGTTTTTTTGCATCAAGCACATACAAACAGAAAATTTGATGAAAAATCGCAAAATATATTACACTTCTACGTGTGCACGAAGATTTGGAATATTTTGAACAGTAAAATCCGTTTCTTTGGTGAGTTTGGTGCTTAGAATGTACCTTTTGCATAGCAAGGCAATATGTGGTGCACAGACCGTGCGTACAATGCAATCTGTCACCGTGAGGTCCCAGGATAGATTGTACATCGCGCAATTTATTTTTACTGTTGTATGTCTCTGTCATACTAACATAGAGTTTTTCTACATGATTAAATAAAATATGAGGAGGGTTTCTGAAAAACAAATCCTCACGTGTGGGCTACCAAGCACCTCCTCCGCTCTAAGCCAATGACATGTGAGCCACCGTCACATTGTCACGCCTTGTGTTGGGGAGCGTAGCAGAAATTTAAAATTTTCTACGCATCACCAAGATCAATCTATGGAGTAATCTAGCAACGAGAGGAAGGAGAGTGCATCTACACACCCTTGTAGATCGCTAAGCGGAAGCGTTCAAGTGAACGGGGTTGATGGAGTCGTACTCGTCGTGATCCAAATCACCGATGATCCTAGTGCCGAACGGACGGCACCTCCGCGTTCAACACACGTACAGCCCGGTGACGTCTCCTACGCCTTGATCCAGCAAGGGGAGAAGGAGAGGTTGGGGAAGACTCCATCCAACAACAGCACGACGGCGTGGTGGTGGTGGAGGAGCGCGGGACTCCAGCAGGGTTTCGCCAAGCACTACGAGAGACGAGGAGGAAGAGGGGTAGGGTTGCGCCAACAGGGGAGGAACTTCATGTGTTGGGCTGCCCCTTTGCCTCCACTATATATAGGGGGAGAGGGAGGGCTGCGCCCCCACCTAGAGTTTTCACCCTAGGGGTGGCTGTTGGGGAACGTCGTAATTTCAAAAAATTTCCTACGCACACGCAAGATCATGGTGATGCATAGCAACGAGAGGGGAGAGTGTGATCTACGTACCCTTGTAGACCGACAGCGGAAGCGTTAGCACAACACGGTTGATGTAGTCGTACGTCTTCACGGCCCGACCGATCAAGCACCGAAACTACGGCACCTCCGAGTTCTAGCACACATTCAGCTCGATGACGATCCCCGGACTCCAATCCAGCAAAGTGTCGGGGAAGAGTTCCGTCAGCACGACGATGTGGTGACGATCTTGATGAACTACCGTCGCAGGGCTTCGCCTAAGCACTGCTACAATATTATTGAGGATTATGGTGGAAGGGGGCACCGCACACGGCTAAGAATATGATCACGTGGATCAACTTGTGTGTCTAGGGGTGCCCCCTACCCCCGTATATAAAGGAGCAGGGGGAGGTGCGGCCGGCCAGGAGGAGGGCGCGCCACGAGGAGTCCTACTCCCACCGGGAGTAGGATTCCCCCCCTTTCCTAGTTGGAATAAGATTCGAGAGGGGGAAAGAGGAGAGAGAGAAGGAAGGGGGGCGCCGCCCCCCTCTCCTTGTCCTATTCGGACTAGGGGGGGAGGGGCACGCGGCCCAGCCCTGGCCACCTCTCCTCTCTTCCACTAAAGCCCACTAAGGCCCATATATCTCCCGGGGGGTTCTGGTAACCTCCCGGTACTCCGGTAAAATCCCGATTTCACTCGGAACACTTCCGATATCCAAATATAGGCTTCCAATATATCAATCTTTATGTCTCGACCATTTCGAGACTCCTCGTCATGTCCGTGATCACATCCGGGACTCCGAACAAACTTTGGTACATCAAAATGCATAAACTCATAATATAACTGTCATCAAAACCTTAAGCGTGCGGACCCTACGGGTTCAAGAACAATGTAGACATGACCGAGACACGTCTCCGGTCAATAACCAATAGCAGAACCTGGATGCTCATATTGGCTCCCACATATTCTACGAAGATCTTTATCGGTCAGACTGCATAACAACATACGTTGTTCCCTTTGTCATCGGTATGTTACTTGCCCGAGATTCGATCGCCGGTATCTCAATACCTAGTTCAATCTCGTTACCGGCAAGTCTCTTTACTCGTTTCGTAATACATCATCTTGCAACTAACTCATTAGTTGTAATGCTTGCAAGGCTTATGTGATGTGCATTACCGAGAGGGCCCAGAGATACCTCTCCGACAATCGGAGTGACAAATCCTAATCTCGAAATACGCCAACCCAACATGTACCTTTGGAGACACCTGTAGAGCTCCTTTATAATCACCTAGTTACGTTGTGACGTTTGGTAGCACACAAAGTGTTCCTCCGGCAAATGGGAGTTGCATAATCTCATAGTCATAGGAACATGTATAAGTCATGAAGAAAGCAATAGCAACATATTAAACGATCGGGTGCTAAGCTAATGGAATGGGTCATGTCAATCACATCATTCTCCTAATGATGTGATCCCATTAATCAAATGACAACACACATGTCTATGGTTAGGAAACATAACCATCTTCGATTAATGAGCTAGTCAAGTAGAGGCATACTAGTGACGTTTGGTTTGTCTATGTATTCACACAAGTATTATGTTTCTGGATAATACAATTCTAGCATGAATAATAAACATTTATCATGATATAAGGAAATAAAATAATAACATTATTATTGCCTCTAGGGCATATTTCCTTCAGTCTCCCACTTGCACTAGAGTCAATAATCTAGATTA